AAAATTTTAATATAATACTGAATAACAATATATTTTAAAAAAATTTTAGTGGTCACGTTTTTTTGAGCAATACTGTATGTCTTAATATATTTTATAGTTTATATCTAAATATTGTAGTAGCCAATGTAGTATTTTCGATTGATATGGAGGAATGCCAGTATTTTTTGATTTAAGACTAGGGTAACTTTTTTTGAAAATAAATTAAACAGTTTATTTAAATAAAAATTTAGAAAAAACTACTTTTTTTATACATGGTCAAAAAAATTTTGCATTAAAAATAATGGATTGAATATTCTTCTAATCAATTTACAACTTGAAAAATATTTACAAAAATCACATTTTTTAACTTATGAATTTCGAAGAATTAATAAAAATTCTTAATAAAAACGATGCTTTTTTAACTATTATGGTAGAATGGGTGTGCTATTACCAAAAAATAAGTAGTAATGTATATATTGTAGAAAACCCACAGTCTCAAGGACGGGAAAAAAGAAGTATTGTGATAGCTTTCTCCTCCGTTACAGATCCTGTAATAAAGAGTTGTCTCTTTTTAAAAATGCCTTCTTTTCTTATGAAAAGAAGGATAAAAGCAGGATTGCAATACCAGTTAAAAAGATAGTTAAGTTTATCTTTTGTTATTTAAAAGATTAGCCTCATCGTGAAATGAAACTGAATTCAGGAATAACAAAAGATAAGACAATCATCAACTGAACTAATTATGTTAGATAAGTAACTCATTATGTTATCACATCTAAACAAATAGGGTATATAATTCAAATGGATGAATTATTATTTGATAGTCATCAAAAGAATAACGTTTAAAGAGTTATATTTAAAATTTTAAAATTGAACTCAAATCTTAGCAAAAGAAATGAATATAATGACAGAGTTTAAAACATTTGAATGTTCAGGTTTACTGGTGACAAAACTATTGATGTTTACATGCCTGTTGTTAATAAAAAAGATATAAAAACATATATTATTGGTTTAAAAGAGTATGTACACACCCACATAATTATTCGTACAGACTGCTGAAGGGCCTTTGGTAAGTTAAATTAAAACTTCAAGGAACGGTTTACAGTAAATCATTCGAAGTTTTTTATTGACCCGATAACCCAATACCACACTCAACTAATTGTGTGTTTATAGGGAAAACTAAATTGTCTATTGTGAGAAACAAAAGTAGAAGTCTATTAGAATTATTACAAAGTTATATCTCTTTCTATTATTTCTGTTATAGATACAAGAAAGCTGATCCATTTGTAATTTTTATAAAATCATTTTGTAAGTTTAAAAATTCAATAGTTAAATAATAGAATGAAGAAATTGATGTTATTAAGATTGATAAATAAAGTTAAATTTTAATTTTTTTATAATTGGTTTAGATATTTTATGTTAAAAAATATTTTTATAACATTTAAATATTTATAACATAAAATTGTCTATTTAAAATATTTTTATTAAAGAATAAAGAAAATATGCTTTATAAATATAAAAGTTTGTTTCATCTTAAATTTTATTTAATATTAACATTTTTTTAT